CTTTCTTTCTTTCTTTCTTTCTTTCTTTCTTTCTTTCTTTCTTTCTTTCTTTCTTTCTTTCTTTCAATAATTGAATTACTATAAAAGTCACAAAGTTGTTCCAGGACACACTAGTAACGTTATACCTTATTCTTATGCCAAGATCTAATTTACAAGCTTTGAAGTAAAGTTGAAAAATATTTAAAGGTTTTCATTTCTAGTGGAGTGCTATATAATTATGTTTAAGTCAATTACAGAATAAGCCAGAAGCACTTTTTTCTTTGGCTAAAATGTTCTAATGACATTTTTATTGTTTTTATTAGGTGCTACCCATTGATATATATATGTGTGTTTATAAAATCACCTAACAGGATATATGTATGCGTGTGTGTGTGTGTGTGTGTGTGTGTGTGTGTATGTATATATATATTGCATAGAGAAAATTGTATTTTATTGTAGAGATAATGTAACAACAGGGGATGGGAAAAGGAGCACCCCTAGCCACGTCCCCCATCCTAAGCAGGGGTCTGAGATGAAGCCAGCCAGGCCTGATGAGAGCTTGGGAGACCCTAACGGGGTTTCTTGTGGCATTGGCTTCTTGTGGCATTGGGGTCAGGACAGGCAGGCCCAGGAGTGGGATTTTGTTCTGTTAGTGCCAGGAACTTCCCAAAGCTAGAACAGGATACAGGATATTCATAGTGCCATCTGAATAATCTGAGGGGTTGGCAGCAGAAGACTTCCTGAAGCTGGTCACTTGAATGTGACTTTAATGCCTGTCTCACCCCCAACCCTAAGCCCTGAAAACATGAGAGCAGGCTTGTGCTCTCCAAGCCCTTCAGAATAGAATGAGGGTCTGAGATGTATGTCTGGGCTTCAGGTGGCCCAGAAGCTGCCCAGATTTCTCTTGCATGAAGAGCTGATCTTTTGTGCCCCTGCAGGCCACCAATTTATGTTTTTATATATTTTATGTTTAGCTGTCTCACCTGTCTTCTGGTATCTGAATACTTAGTGGTAGGGAATCTTGTGAAAAAGACAGGGGTAAACAGTCTGTGGGTTTTTTTTCCTCTTCCCTGAGGGGCTGTTGGCCACCAGCCCACAAAGGCAGGAGTTGCAGAAGGTGAGATGCAGAGCTTAGGGAGCCTCGAGCATGAAGAAACCACTTCAGAGAGATAGCATGAAGGAACCACTTCAGAGAGATAGTTCAAATTTAATCCAGGAGAACAAAGAGTTAAGGCTAGGGAGGCTCTCAGGATGGATGTACATAAGTGGTTAGAACTAGGCACTTCAAGGATGCTTGATTTGTGTTAAACAGCACTATCATAGGAACAGGAATGCAGTGCCTAATTATTTTA